TCGACAAAGAAATACTGAATCACGTATAATAAGAAGCGCAAAAAATCTGCATTAAATCGATCACTCTCGCACACACGCCTTCGATTCTCTAATTAATATTAACCAACACATAGAATAAGTCTTCTGATGAAAATTTAGCTAGAATTGCTTTGAAAATACATTTTTCAGATTAAAAGAGCATCTGGAGCACAACTCTAATTTACACACAGACTCCTGTTTAATTTAATCTAAAGAACATAAATGGGATGAAGGCGCATTTTCTAAATTCGCGGAACACACGGTTTTAATTTTTGAGGCACAAGAAAAAGGCATATATACGAACACGAATATTGCAGTTATTCTCACCGAGGGTCCAAGAAGCGATCAGATCAGGCAACTCAGCCCCCGTAACATTTCTCTGGCTCCTGTAAAGTCTATCCTGGGTCAGCACCCACTGTCCATTTTGCACAACAGCAGCCGTTCTCCGCATTCCAGAAACCATCTGATGATGATGAACAGCACCAGCAGCATTCATGTCCATCGCGGACGATCTTCTTCGAATGATTGCTGTGTCTTCACTTGCTGGGTGACAGCACGACGAGTCACACTGCTGACATCTGGGGTAGTTTCTCATTGCTTCAAAAAGACTGCTGCAACTCGTCACTGCTTCCAATTCTTGAAAAGTCATGGTGCTGCTGCTGGGTACAACAACTAAATGTAACATTATTCCTTCCAAATAAAATCTTGAAACACGCTTTTCATAATTTCGGATTCCATTGAAAAATAAATTTTCCGTCACTGAAAAACGCATAGGGATTGCATTTCACGACAGTTTTATGCGACGCATAACGTCGTCTTTCATCAATTTCGCAAAAACTATTCTCGCCTTTGATAATGACGAGTTCTAAAAATGGAAAAGGCGCGTCTTGAAAAAAAAAAATTTGAACGACGCATATAAAAGCATACAACGTACTTTTCGAACCTGTCGCAGTTGCTGAAGTAGCCGATTGGGACGCTGTTCGCTGCAAACCCATCTACGAAAATCCCTGCAATAATAAACCCACGAAGCTTTCGAAAAATAAAAATCCGCGAAATAAAATTACCATCCATTACAGCAGCAGTGTCCAAAGTCGACCTTGACATTTGAATCGATATTTGGTTCGCTGCCGCCGGCGGTGGCTCGAGACTCATAGTGACAGATGCCACGGGATCGCCTTGCTTGTTACGGGCTTGCAGGACCCATTGAACTTCCGCCAACTTCAGTTCGATATTCCTGTCGTCGGATATGATTTTCTCATCGTTATTATCGGAAACCATTCCTCTTCCAATAACAACAGGGACTGATGGTTCTTCAGCAGCAGCAATGGGTAGTTGGCCGTAGTCACGGAAGCCATCGTTCGAGGTCAAATCCGATCTGAAAAAAAAAATGTAATCAACAGAATATCCAAGCTTATATGACATTGATCAGAATTATATCTCTTCAATTTTCCTCT